AGCCGATCCGGCGATCCACAGCGCGAAGTTGATGTATTTCATCAGCGACCAGCACGGATCAGCTCAAGGCATGACGAAGCGGATATCGTCCTCTTTTGGAAGGCCAAACAAAGTAGTTTCGCTTTCACAACGAAACACACAGAAACACACACGCGTCTTCACGACATGGCGGCAGCAACAATACTACAGCGAGAATAAAAGTTACGCCTTCTTTCGCTGTCTTCAGAGTGATGTCCAATCTGACAACAAGTCCAGTCCAATAACAGATCCAGATCACTCGGTTAGGCTCTGTTATCTGGAATCCACCCACACTGCAATGCTAGTGAATTCAGGACTTTGCTTGTCTGCAAAAATCCCCTGACTGAGACCACAGACAATAGATGTGACAGGACAGCTTAGACTAGGATGTCAGTCAGTTTTCGGAACTGAAGGGCCACCGATTCACCAAAACGGTATAGAGCAGCGGCCCTCAACTAGACGGCCGCAGGATGATTTAAAGATAAGTATATTATTAATTCAATTCATTTTCATATTGTTATTAATTAATTAAAATAATCTATACATCCTATTTCTTTTATTGTCTATGACGTCTGTTCATTTCCCAGTTTGTTTGTTTTTTTTTAAATAATAATACTAATTTCACACAAAAAAAACAAGCAGCTTTGTCATAATAGGATTATCCAGCATAATTATAGCAGAAATACTGGAGGAAATATGAAAGGCCCTTTGAAAGAAGTGTTGGAAAAAGGGGGGCCTCAATGTCAAAAAGGTTGAGAGACACTACTGTAGTTTAGATGACAGACACACGCTATATTGCTGTTGAACTGTTTCATATGTCATTAACACAATACATTTTCCATTGCTGACTGCATGCAACACCAAATATGCAGCTCAAAAGAATGGCCCAAATGGAGCCATTTTTAATGTAACAAATGAGTCTGTTGAACTGACTGGCAAATCAATATCAATCAAACTAACAAGTGGAATAATCTTTTAAGCTGTGTTCACAAACCAGCAACTTTGTCTCTGTAATGTGAAGATCCTAGCATTGTGGCTGTGATATTATTGGTAGACTGCACGTCTAGACATATCTTAAGAAAATGCAACCACAGATGATTTATTTCTGGTAAAACCCAAGATATCATTCTAATTTTACAAGCAATTATTTATCTTGTTGCTAAAAAAAAAGTAATATTCTGCTGTTGGAGAGGTTTGTTACTACTACTCAGTGCATTAAACAGATGAACAACCAATCAATCTATGAAATAAACTCACTCATACACTTCCAAAAATTTCTGCAACAGCTTTTGTAAGTATTGTGAAACTTACAACATTGTAATAAATTAAATGATTTTAAATAATAATAAAAATGTTTTAGCTCAGTTTATCATTTAGCAAACACAAACAATAAAGCCTAACAAAATTATGAGGGTTTGCAAAAATAAACAGCATTGTGTAAAGTAAAAACATCATTGTGCAGCAAACACTGAACTGACCTCATCTAAATCTGTTTATCGTCTGTCTCGCATATGCACTCAAATGAGGAAGCTGCGGACTCAAACTGTAATATGAAAACATGCATTGTAAATGAGGAGCCAGATCAGGGTTTTTTTCTGAATGATGCATAAACACAGTGGCTCCCCACTCCCTCTGCTTCCTTTACCATCCTGATCCGAGCATTATAGGGATTAAAATCTCCCATCATGCCTGGCTTCGCTCCAGCATGCGCACACACAGACTGTATGTAAGACTTTATATTCAAGACTGTACCCATGCTCATTTGAGCGCTTAGCATAGAATTAAACTGCACGTGTTGGCTTTTTACACGCTGCACTATGCCAACACAGCAATCTGTATCTCTGACATCAAACTCACTGCTATATTCATAGTGACTGAGTTTTGCTTATTATACAGTCACTGATGTAAAAGTATCTACAGACTGGCAATCACATATGTAAATACTTTGAGCAAAGTTCATCTTGAAAACTATGAAAACTGGTTGCCTGGGCAACAGCTAACAGCACACCTTTCCCTAGGGAGCACAGGGGAGAGGGGTGGGCAGCAGAGATGCTCTGCTAATGTAACCATGGAAACTGGCCTGCTTGGCTTTCATTGACAAAATAATCCCGCTACACAGAGACTGAGTCTTTACAGTCCAACATTACAGAAGAAAGAGAACAAAACCTTGAATTATATAATGGTACCCTTAACAGTACCAATGAATGTAGTGCTCATTAATATCGTATCATTATCTATATGAGAAAATAGTACCTTAACACTGTAGACTGCCCTGCTCCCATCTGTGCATTGTACTCCTATTGGAGTATTGGAAAACTATTGGAGGTTTATGCATTTTACAGAAATATTGACCAGTGGCTATATTTCAAAACAAATTGTAGTATTTACTGCATTATTCCAGCTTCAACCTGGTTATCAAAATTATTATAAGAAAAAATATCTTTAATATTTGGGAAATTTAAGCTATTCCCAATTTAGCAAGCTCCTGCAGAGTTATATCTTTATTTATTAAAGTTAAAGCCAAATTTGCAACCCTGTCACAGATTTTGGCATACTGATATATTTATTAATTTTACAATTATTATTTTACATTTTTGTTTATTAAATGTTTACTGCTAGAAAGAAGCAATCTCAAAATAGATTTTAAATGGTCTTAAAAGTATCACATTTCAGTAATAAGAATCCATTTTTAAACTTCACATAAATAAGTCTAAAATATCCATCCTGTCTTTGCCCTGCTATTTTCTGATGGTTAACCACCTCTTTGTTGAATTTTGACCCTATTTTAGAGTTAGCCCTATTTGGTGCCATTCATTGAAAGTGTCTTTATAGTGAAATGAGGCAAAGGAAATCACTTGTTTATAAGATCTCATTATTTAACATCTGTGTTTAAGGCCTTTGATTCATGTGATAAATAATTTGGGCAAGAGTTGTTGAATCAGAATAGGACTCACTCCGAAGAATCTATGAAGTATATTCCCAGAGCTCCGATGCTGAGTGCAAAGACCAACACCACCTGGAGGGGGAGATAGAAAGAAAAGAGAGAAAGGGGGAAGGATATCATTAGTGAAGGTCCACTGAGAACAGTACCACTTACAGAGAACAGTTTCATCCTGGAGCTGTTCAACAATGAGCACAACTCATTTCCACCCATACTACACGTGTGGATGAGACATAATGAACAGGAAATGTCATAAAACTGTAAGTGATCCCACCAAATCAGGCTGTGTTTCCAAACCTAGTGGGCTGTCAACCTAAGCATCGTTTATGGACACTGTGGGCTCATTTGAATGTTCAAACATGTCTGTGAAACAGTCTAGGGAGACAGCAGCTCACCAGGGTTAGAGAGAACTCTAGTCTTAGCTCTCCGAAAAATGAATGAATTTAATCAAGTGAGAGTAACTTTTAAGAGAGACTGTGAAGGGCTTTTTTTTTTGTTTTTTGTTTTTTTCAAAGGACTGAATTCATTTAAGTGGTAAGCCCTGTATTTAAAAATGTTTTCAAAGATACTCTTACCCCATTTCTTAGTAAAATTAGAGAAGATTTAAACTGATGGGATACTCTACCTATTTCTTGATTAGGTAGAGTGGCTCTTATAAAAATGACTGTCCTTCCCAAGCTTCTATACGCAATTCAAATGATCCCTATTCTGTTCTCTAAAAAGGTTTTAAAAGCTGTGAATGGCTGGCTTAGCTCCTTTATTTGGAGCAAGTGCAAACCAAGATTGAAATTTTCTGCACTACAATTATCAGGTTCAATGGGAGGACTGGATTTGCCTAATATTAAACTATACCAATGGTCTGCACATCTAAGATACATTTCTGATTGTGTTGCTCTTGATAACTCTTCTACTTGGTTGGACCTTCAACAGTCATTGTCAAAACTTCCCCTTGTGGATCTGTTGTTTCTCAAAAAAATGAAATCCTTATTGGAGAACTGTGATAACCCTGTAACTGTAAATGCACTTAAGGCATGGAGGGCTGTTTGTCATTTCAAGGGAATAAGTAAATTAACCTCTGCTCTTACGTCAATTGTGAATAACCCAGACTTCCCTCCAGGCAGATTTGATGGGAGGTTCAAATTTTGGGTGAATCAAGGTATTAATCGGCTTATGGCCTAATGTCCTTTGAGGATTTGAGACCGAAGTATCAAATTTAACAGGACTTCTTTCATTTTTTTTTTTTACAGATTAGTAACTATATTTTGAAGGATACCACATTATGTAGGCTACTAATAGAAGTCTGTCTCCTATAGAAAAACTACTTTTTCAAACACCTGGAAAGAAGTGAGTTTTTTATATAAAGTTCTCAATGCTACATTTGAGGGAAATGTAGTTCTAAATACTAGACTTGCTTGGGAGAGGTAACTTTCTATTTCTGTAAGTGATGAAGAATGGGGTAATATTTGGAAATATTTGGCTATAACAACTCAAAATTGTACATAGAATGCATGTTTCACCAAACTGTAGACATGCATTTAACCAGTAGCGAACCGTGACTTTTGAACCTTGGCCCCCTCCCCCTACCCTTGTCGGGGGGCTGAACAGACTACCAGCCTAGCTTACAGAGTCTAATTCTAAAAGTCATCTTTGACAATTCTACCTTTGAAACAAGAGGCTATTCCAGCCTTAACGCGGTCACATACCGGATGAGAAGCGCAATGCTGCGCCACACCATGTCTTTAATATTCGAACACTTGAATTGTTTTCTACACGTGCACCGGCGGCTCCACCGGCCTCTGTGCTTTGACTACAATAGATGGCACTTTCTCATTCTGTTTGCTCTGTTTTTTTTTTTAAATCACCGAACTTCAAACTCATTGACACTACTTGCTTATTCTTGAAGTGAATGTTTGACTGTTTGGAGAGTAGATTAAAGGTTTTGGACTGCCATCTCGAACTGAACGCGATGCGTCCGGTGTGCGATAAGTTGCCCTAGACTCACGCATCGCACGGCAGCGGTGCAGCATAGCTAAAACATAGCTAAATTTAAGTCAAATGAATCATTACAAATGCATCATCACACAATCAGTCTGTGCACAAAACCAACAAATGTAATGTTTAATGTAAGCCAACACATCATGACAGCGCTCACAGCAAAACAACTTAGCGACAGACACTTCATTACAAACAAGCAGTGTTTATATTAAATAATATTATTATTGGCACAGCGGCCCAAAAATGCAGCTTCCATCATGACGGGAATAATAGCTAGTTAGTTTATCAGAGTTTATATATTTTTTCAATAGAGATCCCACAGTGGGCGGAACTTGTCATTAAGTTAGTGATAACAAGGTCCGCCCATTTAGAGGAAAGATATGATTGGTCCGTTTTTCTGTCATTTAAAATTACGCTCCCATTGATTTACTATTGCTTGGCCCTCTGTAATCTCACAGCTGGACCACCAATCACAGAGCCGCAAACGCTAGGTGGAAACATTCTAATATGGAGAAAATGGGCGGAGTTCATTTAACGCATTCACTGTATAGGCAGATTTGAAGAGTTTATTTCCACAGAAATTGTATTTATTTTATTTAGATGATGATTGTGAAATTATGAATTGCTTAAATAAAACAGGAAATTAGGACTTTTTATTAAAAATAATATTTAAAAGTTTGTCCTTTAAAAAAAATATGTAAAAATTGTTTTTACAATAGTTTAGGCCCACTCTGAGCCTGATGGTTCCCCACTGCATTTAACAATACCCTTTCACCTCTATGCCTTAAGTGTAAACCACAAATTGGTACTCTAACTCAATGTCTTTCGTCATGTAATCAGTTCAAATATACTGCGCCAAGATTGTATCTGAAATGAGTAATATCTTTGATAAGCAGTTGGTACTGGATCCTTTATTTTTGATCCTTGGTCTGCCGTATCTTTTTGTTGTTGTTGTTGTTGTTGTTATCAAATGAAAAGAGAATTTACAATCTTCTTACATTTGCAGCCAGGAAAAACATATTATTGAGGTGGATAAATGATAAGATTCTGAATATATCTGGCTGGCACAAGATTTTAAGTGAACTAATTCAACTGGAATATTTTTGGAGTACGTTTAGTTAATGGTCAGCCAGGTCAGTTTTTAGGGAATGAACTGTCAACTATTCTGTAGAAGAGTTTTCCTATTCATGTACTCCAAGTGAGTGCATAAGATTTTGAACTTGTATTGTACTACCACTATGTATTTAGTGTGGTTCTCCACTTGATTTTTGATTATCTCAATTTTTTCTTTTTTCTTTTTCCTTTTAGTGGCCTAGGATAAATCTGTTTATTCTTCTGCCAATTTTTTTTTTAAGATCATGGTTTATATTCCTGTGTGTTTTGTTAAAGTTGGAAAATGTTCAATAAATATGTTTGAGAAAAAATAGGGCTAAATAAATCACTGATATTCAGCTGTCATCAGTGAACGAGACAATGAGCACTGGGTGTGTGTAAATAAAACAGGCTGTTGAGAATCTAATGACGGTTGGGAATCTAAACTCATGTTTAGAGCAGGGAGACAAACGTAATGTATTTTTTCCCCTCCCATTGGTTTTGACATGACAGACTACAAGCAATACATCACAGATACTACTTCACACTAGGGATGTGCGCAAACAAAAGTGTTGCGTTTATAATTTTGTTCAGTGTATATACATATTAGAGTCTAATTAATGTTACTTATAAGTACAAATAAAATTACAATGTTTTTTTCCTTTTAAGTTTGTGATTTATGTATTTGAGTTTATAGTTGTGAGTCTGAGACAAACGTTTGTTTATGTTTATTGTGTTTATGTACTGTTTTAATTGTTGTGCAATGTTATGACTCAGTGGCTGCTTTTTTTAATTTTACAAAGTAATTTATTCCTTCCTGTGATGCAAAGCTGAATTTTCAGTAGCCATTACTCCTGTCTTCAGCGACACATGATCTTCAGAAATCAGTCTAATATGCTGATCCAGGGTTGCTGCAGGATTTTTAAGATCAAATTTAAGACTTAAGACCTTTTTAAGACCTGCACAAATAAAATTAATACCATATGAGCGGGGTAGGGCAATGTAGTACCATATTAAACTGTAAAATTACTGTAAAAAGCATAATTTACAGTTCAGATACAAGTTTTAAAATGATAAACTTTACATTTCAGCCTTTAAACCATTGTTAAGAAAATGGATGAGTCAAAAGTATTAATTATTATATTAATTTAAACAATTATTATCAATAAATTATCATATCAATTAAATAACATAAATTGCGGTGTGCGATATTGACAAAAAATGATACCTCGATAATATTCTGGGATTTTATCAATAACGATAATTAGACAATATTTTGCTGAATGTGTTATTGTGCTGATATCTTAAGGACTACCGTGGACAGCTGACTCCTAAAGTTTTGATATTCTTCATCTTCTGTGTGGTGGTCAGTTCACAGCAGGGTTGTTACCAAGCAAATTAAATCAGTATCAACAAAATGTATTTTTGCAATGCAGAGGAAACACAGAAGCTGCATTAGAAGTGTCATTTAGACGCATTTACACACTGTTTAATGCAGCTCTGAGGGACATTAAATACTTTAACCTGCAATTACAAATGCATAAATAAGCCATTCAGTAGCCATTACTTCTGTCTTTAGTGACACATGATCTTCAGAAATCAAAGATCAGATCTGCTGCTCAAGAAACATTTATTAATATTATCAGTGTTGAAAGCAGTTGGGCAAAAGAACAGCATGTATTTGAAATAGAAATCTTTTGTAACATTATGAATGAATGAATGAATGAATGAATAAATGAATGATGCATTTATGGCGCTTTTCCACTGCATGGTACAGCACGGTACGGTTCGGTACGGTTCACTTTTTGGGGGTTTTCCACTGGGTACAGTACCTGGTACTTTTTTTTAGTACCACCTCGGTTGGGGTTCCAAGTGAACCATACCATTACCAAAACAAGACGTGTAAACTCTGCTGATCACGGATTGCAGTGGAAACGCAAACCGTGCCGAGCCGAACCGTGCCGTGCCGTACTGAGCCGTGCCGAGTC